CACCAAGCTGTTATCAGTACTTAGAAATACCAGATAAAAATGACCAATATTCAATAATGTAAATAAAAACCTGAAGTTTCAAACATCATTAGACTTTTGTCCTTTAGAACGTGGAAAAAGACAGAAAATGTCCCTTAGAAAGAAAAAAAAACAAAAAAACACACACACCAGCTTTTTAAAGGCCAACAACAAATTTTGTCTCTCTAATATCTAGTTCTTCCTTCCCCTGACGTTAGGCGAGCCATCAGTCTCAGAGCGCAGTAAATGTTAAGACAGGTTAAGGTCCTGTGACCAGAGGGAAGTCTATAACAGTCAACACCTCTGAGTCCACTCAGTATTTATGAGCATCATCCTGCTGTGATGAAAACCCTGCAGTCAGAGACATATGGAGAGCAATCAAGTCCCTCCTCTTTGTCACATTTCAGTCTTTCTGTATGAAAAGACACGTTTCTTATTAGCAGAAGAGACCTCCTATAAGGTCATCCTCAGTGATTGTCTCCATCTTGCAGTCACAATAAAACACATTAAAGACGATGGCTGTGATGTAGAACAGTTTGGAAAAATGAAAGGAAAGTGTTATTATAACCTTCACAGTGACGCGTAGGCGTTAAATCAGTGTTCCTGAGAAACATTTCAAGCATTTTAAATAGCATGGTTCTGGGATGACTCATCCAAACTGGACTCAGCATCCATGGACAAGATGCTTTTAGTTTAAAGACCTAAATCAGGCAGCTGGATCCTGTTGGAAGCTTAAACAATATTAGAAGTCATGCCATAACTTTGCTAAAATGTTGAAATGATGCAGAAATACTTAATATATTTCTGTTTTTGCATCCACTGTGATAAAAAAAAAAATTGTTTCTACCTTTTTGGTGGTAGAAAGAAATGAAATCTGTCTCAAGGACAAAGATGAATGCATGATATTGGCTCATATTCTTCGCCGTTCAAACCGTTTCGTTTTTGCAAAATATTTCACAAATATCCTGTAATATAAAATCTTTTGCACCATCGTTTTTTTTAATAAATAAGGCTAAAAATCCTATTTAAAGAGTTCCTTTTGGACAACGATGAGAGAAGCAGTCAATCTCTGCTTAAAACGACATTAATACATCTGGTTGTTGGTATCTTCACATTAATGAGGCTGGTTTTGCCAGAAGCTTCCTTCTTAAGCTATAATCCTTCATATAAATTCAAGATTGAATCAAATAATGATGAAACGTTTCCTGTTTCTAGCTGGGTAATGAGATTGCACTAAGCTGGTTCTGTGGCTGGAGAAAGCTCAGCCGTCTCGGCTGTAGAACCAGCAGAGAACCGCTTCTAGCTGCATCCCCGGTTTAAAGGAATAGTACACCCAAAAC